TTAGTAGGGTGCAGTGCACAAGTTAGTTGGAGGTGTCCCTTGCAAATTCGCTTGTCCAAGGCCCATCCTCTCGCTCGCTCCGTTGGTCGCCCCAAAAGGCGTTTTACTGGTTAAAAATATTGCTGATCTTTCCTGGCTGATTTCATTCCTGAGGTAAGCAATGAAATTTGTAGCATGATTTCATTTTGTGTTTTTATTGAATTCCTTAACCCTCGCCCGCACATGCCATTTTCCCATCCTAGAACGCACATGGGGGGGGGGTTGCCACCCCCCCCCCCGCGCCATTTCGTTCCTGTTGGAGATAGAGCTTAGCAGTAAAGACCAAAAAGATTCTTTGGGATGAGACGAATCCAATGATACCCAGTTTTACCTTCTCAGGTCAGTCATTGACCTTCCAGGTCAGGTCAAACTAAAAAATGTTGCTGTTTTGGGTCACCGTTAGACATCAAGTGTGCTGCTTATCAAATACCGATGACGATGCTGTTTTCTGGTGCCAAGCCAGCTAGAACCTCTTTGTCACACTACCCGACCAGAATTTTGCTGCTGAGGTCATTTCAGGTCAAGTTAGGTCAAGGTCAATTATATGTGTTTGTATGTCTGTGTGTGTCTGTGTGTATACTGATGTGTGCACCGATTGTTTTTGGGTCCATATTACATGAAATCATGATCTGAGAAGCTTTTACCAAAAATGCAGTCAAAAAACTTCAAAAAAAGTAAAATCAGCTTGCCTAAAACGCAATTATCTTAGATGACCTAGGTTGACCTTGACCCTGACCTTAACCCCTGTACATCGTCAAACAACATGTTCCATGATAGGTAGGAGGTAAGACTGGCAAAAAAGGCCGAAATCAGGGTGTCAAAAGCTCATAAGGCCCATGGCAAACGCAAGATGTTGAGAATTGGCCATTTGGGTCATGACATGACCTGAAAAACAAGGTCATATCTCCGAAACCAAAAATCACAGAAGCTTGAAATTTTCAGTGAACATCAAGAAAGGATAGAGGAGCAGCTATACGAAAAATCAGCAGCCTTCTAGCTCTAAAAATGTTGAGTGCAGAGCAGAAAGACTACCTGGGGGGGGGGGGGTGGCAACCCCCCCCCCCATGTGCGGGCGAGGGTTAAAAGCTCGCCTAAAAGCATTCTCTCTCATTCAGGCTCTCATCAACCCGGCAGGCAGTGGACCTCCCGGCCACCTTCCGCGCGGTGGGGGGGGGCATTTTTTTACCCCCCTCCCGTATCTCCGAAACTACTGGACGGATCCGTAACATTCAAACGATGTTCGATAGCCCTGTCAAATTTGTCGATGGAACTCCAATTTCATTGACCTCGGGGTCACCGATGACGTCACAGGTCAGGTCAAAGATAAAATGTTTCACGTACGTCAAAAATAGGGCGTACGTTGCCTAGTATATATGTTGCTATTAGAGGTCACTGATAATACCATGTCAGGTCACAGGTCAGGTCACCAAGGGTCAGCACATGAACCAACTTTACTATTTGCTAGGGTTGTGCGATGCATGTTTTATGGCCCCCCTGACATGGTCCCCCCCCCCCAAAAAAAAGGTTACAGGTCTAAGGTCATTTGGGTCAGGTTCATGGAATTTTCAGGGTAGGTTCCTTGAGATTTGGTCAAGTTTGGCGCTTTCGGTCAACCGTCGTGAAAACGGCTGTTCTGAACCTTTCTGAGCACGGTGCAAGCTCAAATATACATATGTTGCATGTTCCCATTCAATGACACATTAACCCTCGCCGGACCTATTGGTTTTCTACATACGCGCCGGCCGGGGGGGGGGGGGGTTGGTTGGTACGATTTCCCTCGCCGTTTCGCCCCTGATGAAGCTAGAGCGTCGCGGAAAAAACAAGCGTGTGCGCCGTTACAAGACGCAGGTACTGGTACCCGATTTTAAGGTCTCTTGAGGTCAGGTCAAGTGACCAAGGGCCAGGGTTCAGTTTTTCATAACTTCGCAAAAAAAAAACGGTCGGAGAGCCGCGATTTTGGCATCATCGTGTTCGCCTCGCTCAGGCGCGTCGAATGGTATACTTTTTGTTCGGGTGAGGTCAACTTGAGGTGTTGAACTCGGGTCAAGGGCAGGTCAGCTCCCCCAGATCACGAAGCTGGTTGACAGAGGTCATGTTACATATTACTCGAATCGGCAGGTCTACCTGAGTTTATTGGTGGCTTTCCCGACTCGCTAACTCAATTTGATGGGGAGTTATTGATGAAAAACTCTAATGACCCAAGTATATAACTGCAATGAAAACCGTAAGCCACATGCTAATAATTATATTAAAAATAGGGCCAAGAAAGTAAGACATGCTGGGCAAACTGACAAACTGACTTTTGTCAAACCGTCTTACGGTTTTCATTGCAGTTATATATGTAATCATGAGCCTCAAAACCGCACTTTCTTTAATCAATGACCCAAGTGACTATAAATGACGCCACGCAATGTCAACAATGCAAAAGTGAAGCATCGGACCTTGCAGGGCGTGAAAGAAATCACGATTCCATGTGCTGGAGACAGTTTGAGATAGTTCTCGGCGCTAACATAGCAGTTTTCATTTTTCCCCATTGACTTATACCTAATGGTGAGGTCACGTGGCCGACCTGACCTCATGTGATTTTTAGGGAAAATCCGAGATATATGTACAAGTTGTGAGACCTCTGGATGATACTACATCCTGTAAGTTTCATCTCCCTGTGAAAGTTCCTCTGGCACTGACTGCGTTGCGAAGTTGCGACATCTGAGGACTGTGCAGAGGTTCACATATGACGTCACAGGTCAGTGACCTGACCTGACCTGAAAATGCGGTTGGTGTCACAAGATGCGACTTGGATCAAAGGTCAGCTATGCCAAGTTTCAGCTCTCTATCGCCTGCGTGTTCGGAGCTATCGTGAAAAAACCCTATAGGGAGGCGGCACCCGCCCCCACCCCCCGTCGGACGGCGAGGGTTAATGATACATGCGGTACCTGATACGAGCATAAGGTTAAAACATGCCTAATATCATTTCAATAATAACGCTCGAAAGCGTCACAGCTAGACAAAAAAGAAAAACTGTACTTAAAAATAAACGGATGTGAACACAATCTCCTTGACCGAATCCTTACAAAATGCAAGTCACGGGCCATGGCACCCCAGAAAACCTTGCTTAAAAAGACCCACTGAATCGCCACGAAATCAAGTGCTTTAACATAGGCGTGTCATCTCTATGTATATAAGATCTCTATGGTAATAACTGGTGTAAGCAAATTGACCACGGTCAAAAGTGCATTACCAGAATGCACTTAAGCCAACATTTTGGGATAGTCTCGTTCCTAAGTCGGCTAAGAGCTTCGGTCCAGAAAATAAATTTATCGTTGGCATACAGTAAAATACATACCAAACTCGGCCGGTGATAAATTTTCAAGACCTCAGTCCTTACTGATTTTTGAACTCGGCCTTCGGCCTCGTTCAAAAATCCAGTAAGGACCTCGGTCTTGAAAATTTATTTACACCGGCCTCGTTCAGTATTATATATCACCGGCCGAGTTTGGTATGTATTTTACTGTATGCCAACGATAAAATAATTGTCTAGACCGAAGCTCTTAGCCGTTTTTTGAACGAGGCCATCCCAAAATGTTGACTTGGTAATGCATTTTTGACCGTGGTCACTTTGCTTACACCAGTTATTACCACACCCCTCAGGCTAATGTATTTGAATAGGCCAGGCATACAGTAAAATTAGGTTTTGCTCGACAGTTTTTCCAGGGCTATCAGACGCCGTTTCAGTTTTGACAATCGGCCCAGTAGTTTCGGAGTTGGAGCGGGGGGGGGGGGGGTTCTATAAATAGCCCCCGCCTCCCCCAGTGGAGTGCGTTACAGAACATACCCCAGTGGGGCGCTGGTTAAGAGTAGAATTTTTGAATTATTGCCAACACTCAACACTGCACCTCATGGCAATTAATTCATTATAGGGCATTTTACCTGAACCAGCCTCTGGCCTAATGTCCCAAATTTGCTAAATTCCTCACCCTACAAATCCCCTGTTCTATTAGATGCTGCCATTTTTTTAAAACAACTTATCTTAAATCCTTGTTTCATCAAACTGGGAGCTAGGTCACGGGACACTGCGAGTCAAGGTGGGAGGGGTAGGAGATAGAGTGTCACTGCAGCACACACAATCAATCTTTCCATTGGTTTATCTTATATCAATGCCTGCTCTTTTCCAGAGCTGGCTTTCGAAGTTCGAACCTTCGGTATATGGCTACCAATGCCCTTGGAGAAGGTGTTGCGTGATAAATCGCTGGAAGGGCGACATTCAACGATTGTGTGAAAAGAGACCGATTGCATTGTGATGATAAAGTGAACTGTAATAATTGTTGTTCATGCGCGTTGTTTGGTTATGTGCAGACGTAACTTTGTTTGTGGCCAAATGCTTTTTATGTGTGAAATATTTCATGTAGGTTACTAGGTAGATGCTTTGGAAAAGTGAAGAGCTGCTTTGTCGACTGCTAGGTAGATACTGTCATGCATGCTGTTGTGCATCAGTAAGTGGCTGTCGTAATGATAAACAAATTTGGCATGGATAGGCTAAAGCACAGCATATGAAGCATGCTGGTTGATGACTAGTAAGATCCTGTTAAAGGAAGACTGCCACCTTCAAAAAGTTTTCTCAGATCGGCCCATGATTTTTTCCCTGGATAAAACGAAATTTTAGAATTCACCTGGCAAGCTATCATCACGTGAATCGCGTAAAAAAATTATCGATTATCATAAATTTTCAATCGGATAATGTCTAGCGACAATGTTGACACATCACTAGACTTCAAGGTCATAAGATATGGAAGCGGGTTTTGTCGCCATAAACGGCGCGCATGTTACAATTGAAATATACAATGTTTGGTTATGTATGTCGTGTTTACGCTTTTGGAATTGCCTGTTTTAATGAGTTATGTTATCTATATCTTAAAATATTCCAATTCTGATTCATCTGATAGGTATATATATATACATGTATTTTGGCATGTGATATTAAAAGCTATACTTTTTCCAGGTTTATATGAATAGTGATAGACTAAGTTGAGACAAATGCTATTTGAATAATAAATACCTATGGTATTGGAAAAGTTGTCATGAATCTGATAGTGTTTCCATTCCAGCACCAATTTCCCAGTCTTCAAAGTGTGGCAGGGAGCTCAATCCGTGACAAGATGTTTGGGACAGTCAAAACATTGCCCCAAGCGGAATGCCGAGACCTGGGCAACCCAATTCCTTTCATGAGGGCCCCTCATGAATATGATGAAAATGATATAATGATGAAGTGCATCATTTAATAAGTATGAGAAGCGAAACGAATCAATGCTGTGACAAGCTTTCAACTTCTGCCCCAGATTTCCTTGCTTCTGCCCCAAAATTCCTCAAACCTGCCACAACCTGTGGTGTGTGCCCTGACAACATATTGTCAAGACCTGCCACGTTTTGCAGACTGGCCCATTTCTGTATGCCTACCTTCCAGGTGAAGATGCCTGGTGAGCGAGGGAGAGGACAAGGACGGGTGAGGAGAGGAGGTGGTCGAGGGGCAAGAAGAATTCTCAACTTTTCACCCACCGCCCAGCCCGAGCCCCAAAGGTAAATAACTGAATGTTTCTTACAATGTGATGTGAAAGTATGAAACAATTGTTAATATTTATTTAATTGCCATGTGTGGCCTAGCCTTTATCTAGGTTGCTAGCCAATATATACTTTAATGATTATTGCAATTAAAATTATCATGTACCTACCTTGAAAAGTCAGGTACCTACACTACAAGCAGAAATAATACAACCTAATCTAACCTTACCTAACCTTACCTAATGTAAGATAATCTCACCTGACTCATTGTGTGGTTTGGTGGAAGTTATAAATGTTTTGTGAAAAAGATATGGTAAGTACACAAAACATTTCTAAGGATGTGTTCTTTCTAATCATGTTTTAATTTTGTGAGTCTCTTCATTTTCTAAAGAGTGCAAAAGGAGGTATTCAACTCTGCTCATGATAATTCAAAAGGAATTCTTAAATACAATGCACCAATAAATCACTGATTTTCACTTTGTGGTTCATCAGAAAACACATTCAACATCATTGTCTTTCTATAATGAAAGATGGCACTAAAACATGAACCACTTTTCTTTCAGAAAAGTGGTGCTAGGTGAACTTGATACAGGTGAACTAATTACTTAATACTTAGGACACATGGTACAAGTCTTGATCTTATAGTGGGAGGCGGCTCGGGTTGGAGATACACGTACACTGATTATTAGGGAGACCATTAGGTACCGTTAATGATTTTACATTGCTGTGCGATACGAGGTTGTACCTAGTGATGTTGCGTCATTTGTGGACTTCCCGCTGCGAGTTGTCTGGTCCTAGGATTTCATGCACATCTTCCTTCACTTCAAACTGGGATTTACCGGTGACGTGTTTTCTCTGTGTGCGCCAGGTGTACCAGTGGAAGCTCCTGCACCACGTGCACCGTCGTCACAGAGGAGATCTGCGAGCAGCTGCGCCGGCGCGCCGCCGCCGTGGACTCCGACAGTGGGGTCGAGGTGGAGGTGAGCGACGCGAAGGACGGCGCGGCCGGCGGCGCCCCGTCCGCGTCCGGTGGCAGCGCGCTCAGCAAGCTCAACGAGGAGACTCACGCCTATTGCCGCGGCGCGGCCCCGCCGGCTGGTGACCGTCCGGAAACCCAAGCCGTTCATGGGTGACTGAGTGAAACGAATGGACGTGCATGTGCGTTTTTGTTCTGTGTATGCGTGCGTTTGGAAATGGCGTCTCTATGTGCGTGCTTGTTTTGTAGAAGCGCTAGCGGTGCCGACGGACCCAGCGATGGCGCGGAGGGCTTTGATGTACCGTGTGTCTTTGATGTTGATGCATTCTCGTGTTTTGTTGGTCGCGCGCCCAGCAGCACCGTGTACATAGCCGGGGGCGTTTCTGCTCGACGCCACGTTCTGTTCGTTGTATCTCAGTGCCAGCTTTTTGCTCCAAGTCCCGCTCGTGGAACACGCGACTCGCTCGATTCAAATAATAAATATACACTGCATTCTCTAACAACCTGATGTCCTCTCTCTCCTCTCTCCTCTCTCCATATAAAAAAATACGGCCACGGTGAGTAGGTGCCGGCCGGCGGTAACTGCCTCCGGCCGGACGGTTCTCATTTGATATGTGACAACAGTTAGGAATGTACCACCGCCATAGTACCCTCCATCACTGCCGGGCGCGGCGGTCCCCGCACACAGGACCGGCGGGGGGGGGGGGGGGGGTAGCGACCGCCGCCGGCTGCTGGCCGCCCATCAGCTGCAACACCAGCTGCTGCAGATGGACAAGCTGCTGGCGGTCCTCGTTTAGCGCGATCAGCTCCTGTTCGCGCGCCGCCGACACAGCGTTCACAGCGCCGCCGCCGATGAATTGCTGCAGCCGCGCGCGCAGCTCCTTTCGCTCTCTGATGAGACTGAGACTGAGCCAGCCAGAGCCAGAGTCGAGACTGAGCCAGCTGAGTCTTGACAGACCGGACAACACACAAGGCGCCAAAAACGAAGCAACATGATTGGTCGACACATCGAACCGTCTGTCACAGCGACTGTGCTTGGACCACGGCCATCCCGCAATAGTGACAAGACAAGGCATTATCCTGAACACGCGCAGAATCACGTCCAAAGTCAATCGACACACCAAGAAACGTAAAAACATGCGACGGAACGAGAACTAATTTATTGAAATTAATACACAACCCAACACTAGTCAGAAACGCAGCGATACCATTCAGCGTCCTTGGACATAAAAAGAAAATCATCTAAATACGCCAAACACCTCACACCTGACGTTAAATCTCGACTCTACAAGTTCACTGAAAGCATCTGTTAGGTACTGCTGCAGTACCTAACTGCATCTCCTTCAGTACCTAATAATGCAGTACCTAATAATGGTACTGCATCTCTACCTAATAATGCAGGAGATGCAGTACCTAATAGGGCCCATTGATAACAGAGAAAATGTATAAGCACGTTTTACAATCATACAAAACACCAAAAGGACGTGTGGAATGTGATGAAATCCATCTTTTAAATCAATCTTGATACCGGTATAAAACCCCAAAACGATAACTCTAACGCATCCTCAATAGACGGCAAAGAGCACGGCCGGCACGGCAAGAGGGGCGTAAGCACTGACAAATCGTATACCAGTCTGGCCACAGTCGCACTTTTTGGCACAGCAAAGCCTGTAGCAGGCCAACTAAACAGCGACTCGCTCGCGACCGGTGCCGACGGCAATGAAGATTCGTCGTCACCAGCGTCCTCCCGAGGCGCGCTGCCGACGGGGCACGCCGCCACCGGCCCGCCAGCATCACCGTCGACCGATGCCGTCTTCAAAGAAGAGCCGCTCCCCTCAGTGGCGGCAGCAGAAGAGACCGCAGGCGGCGGGGACCCGGAGCAGGGCACAGAGACGGTGCCCCCCGCCGCGCCTCAAACGCCGACCTAAGCCGGACGTCTCGGCGAGCCGGGCCCGCGGCGCGCGGCGGAGCGCGCAGGCTGGACGGCCAGGCGGGGCGCGGGCGTCGCCGGCTCCGCCGCCGGGTGAGCTCCGGGAATGATGATGGAGAATGATGGAAGGATGATGTCATGGAGCCGCGGATGCTGCTCCATGGCAGAAATCATCTCTGCAGCTGCGCCGTGCGGATGTTGGTGGCGAACGCCCTCTGGGCTCTGCGTCAGCTGGCTGGTGGCTTGCGCGCTCTGTGGGAGAGCAGGACAAGGTGTAAAATGCTGCTACGGGACACGTAAGCAGATGTAATACCTCTGCTGGAGCTACCACACGCAGATAAGACTAAAGTCAGTTCCATTTCAAGCTTGCAGCCGAAGTACCATGCTGTAAACAACACATGCTTTATGTGTGCATAGCTCCTACATTAACTTTTCATAACACGGCCTGGCAGGGGGGGGGGTTGATGCGACCCCCCTCGCGATTGGCTCCTATGGCACCTAGAAACACCAAATTTGGTAGGTAGGTGGGACCCCTGGAGTTCTCGCCCCTATGCAAATTTGGTTGCTCTAGGTCAATATTTAGGGGGGTTTTGGGAGATATAAATGTAAAATTTTTGCTAAAAACAGGTCAAAAGTTTTTCGCTTATAACTTTTGATCCAATTAAGATAGAGAAAAGAAAAGCACCAGTGAAATCAGCACGTCAAGGCGCGTCGAATGATATACTTTGTACCAGGGACCATCCATCAGACTATGATATACCAGGCGCCGTGATTGGACGGCGGCTTGCTGGGAACGCCGCCGTCTTTTCTTGGCCGATTCGGTCCTGCATTTTGGAAATGAATCGATATGTAGCTTATGTGTGCTGTGAGGTTAATATGTGTGAGCGGCGGCCCAGCCGTACGAATCGGGCGGTCACACGAGCGGTCACACGACCGGCACACACTAAACACAACAAACGCCGCTCACAGCAATGTGAATGCAGCTGTCTGCCAGCATAACAATAAAAGTCAAATTTTTAGATCTTACTCAATTCAATACATACAGATTGTGGATTGTGCAGCTAAGTTATGCATACGACGAAATCGTGTAAAGTGCTCTGGCGATGAACATGATCAACAGTTTCTTCTGAAATGACTTTATCCTTGATTTGTTTTTGAAAAAAAGAAACATTTACAGCTAACAAGTACATTCTTTGGGGTAAATTTTTGAACAATTTTCATATGAATAAATGATGACAGGTGGCATGATTATGCAGTATGCTCGAGGAACGCGCATGGTCAAAATAATAGATAAAGCCCAATTTGAATAATTCTAGCAGAAAGACACCAGAAGCATCCCTCAAGCAAAAAAAGAAAAGTTTGTCATAAATAGGTTCCCAGTTCTCACCTGCTTCCACTCCACCGCCGTTTACCAGCTCGCAGCTGGTGTCCATGCGGTGTTGACACCAGCGGCGCAGGTGACGTCGCCGTCGTCTCCGGCACTGGCAGAGTCGACGCCATGGCCGTCGCTGGATGGTCCAGTGCCGCGGATGGTCCAGCTGGTAGCGGCGTCACGGCCGTCGCTGGATGGTCCAGGGCCGCGGATGGTCCAGCTGGTGGCGGCGTCACGGCCGTCGCTGGATGGTCCAAAGCCGCGGATGGTCCAGCTGGTGACGGCGTCACGGCCGTCGCTGGATGGTCCAAAGCCGCGGATGGTCCAGCTGGTGACGGCGTCACGGCCGTCGCTGGATGGTCCAGTGCCGCGGATGGTCCAGCTGGTGGCGGCGTCACGGCCGTCGCTGGATGGTCCAGGGCCGCGGATGGTCCAGCTGGTGACGGTGTCACGGCCGTCGCTGGATGGTCCAGGGCCGCGGATGGTCCAGCTGGTGACGGCGTCACGGCCGTCGCTGGATGGTCCAGGGCCGCGGATGGTCCAGCTGGTGACGGCGTCACGGCCGTCGCTGGATGGTCCAGGGCCGCGGATGGTCCAGCTGGTGACGGCGTCAGGGGTTCCGCGGAACTCGCAGGTGACGTCGCCGTCGCAGGTGACGTACCAAGGTTCTGAAATCACAGTGCAGAGAGAGGTTGGTGAACTACCAGTGTGTTTACCCGTGCCCTGCTGGGGGGGGGGGGGGTGCCAAAAATGTCTATTTGTTCCAATGGGGCGGATTTGCAAGCCTTCGCCCCATCAAAAGACGGCACAATTACAAAACAACGCACAACGTCATAACGTCACAGGCACTCATCTCCATACTATTGACTGACGCACCACCCCAAGGTCACATGCACTTGGCCCATGCCGAAAAAAAAGATATTATAACATTAGAACACATTGTGTCACATTATAAGCGTCCTTCTCTTTGTCAGTGGCGCCCAGCTCTGCACCATATACCGCCCCATGGGTAAGCCGCCTCTCACTCAGACAAACAATAGAACCACCCCACCGGCACGCGATTACGCGTTCGAACAAAATATGGCCGTCCGCACCAACGGCTTTCGCGTCTAACACTACCGCTGGAATTCTCTCGGCCACGGAGCGCGCTTACCTTCGAGGGTACAGCCTCCGGCTGGAGGAAGCGATTTGGGGTGTAATCGCTGTCAACAAAATGCATGCTGCACACGAAGAGAGTCTTATCGGCCGATGGGAGACCCAAGGCATCCAGCCACGCCTGGCGCCTGCTGTCTCCAGCCTTGGGCATCCTATGGAGCAAAGGAGCAGGACACAATGCATCTCAGATAATTTTTCTGAAAAAGTCAATTTCTAATACTCTGCCACAATGAAGACAAATTCTTGGTAATAAAGCAGGTGGTTTCTCTGTGCATTTACATTTGTGCCACAATAAATGGCGACAGCCTACATAGGTTGTTACGAGCGAGCAAGCGAAGCGAAGTCTTTTCAATACTAGATGCAGGCAGCGCTCGTGCGTTGCCTTGGGCCAGAATTGGAGGGATGGTGCCGAGAGCATGCTGGGCCAGAGAAAAAACAATAAGTTAGGTCTTGGGGGTAGACTGAAAGATAACCGAGGCCTCATGATAAAATATAACCCTCATGATACTGCATTTCAAATACTGCAATGACGGTGGCGCGATCACATACCTGTGTAGTTTCCATTTTGCACCCTGCTTATGTTGGGGCTTGTAATCAAAGTGTTGCTTGCATGTCTTGACACAACGACGGTTTACCATGTTGCTGCTGTAAAAGAGAAGCTGTATTTGTCATTTAAAGTTGTTATACAATTAATATTAAGAGGTGCAGCATGACAGCTTTCAGCATGACTGGAAAACGTGGCTGCCACGTTTTTCAGACTGGGTCAGGTCAACGGTCGCTGAATGGTGATTGACAAATACTAATTTTTTATAACTATTTATAATTATAAGCATTCATATTTAAATTATTTATTCCTGGTTTGGTCATAGCCCTGCTCACTTCAACTGTTTATTGGTCGATCAATATTTGGATTTGCGCCTAGTAGTTTCCCAGTCTGCTAAGTATTGCAATTTTGACAAAAGCTCGTCGGTGCAGGCTTGTTCAGCTGGTGCTGATCTGATGCGGCGTGGTGTGGATTTGGCTGGTGGGGTGCAGATCTAGTGTAGCCCAGTGTCCCAAGATTTGGGTGGAAAGTGAAATCCTTGTGAAATTGAATAGTCCACTCGGTCCACTCTCACCTTTAATTTTCCAGGACAATTTTCCCTCCCAACTTTAACAACTAAGATCATCCGCATGTACATTTGCTGGCTGGCTTGTACCTACATTCAAATTCCATTGAATTATCGTAGCTTCCACATCCTGCAACATTCACATAGAAAATGGTGATCATGTTTTCATTCTTCTTTGTATCTTTCTGACTGGCAATTTTCCACTTTCAGTCCTCTTTGTAGTGAGGAATTTTACCCTCGAACACCCAAGCCAAAATATCCCTAATTTTGGGACACTGGTGTAGCACATTGCAGATTTGGCTTGTTGATGGACATGACAGACCAGACGAGATATATGAGGAAAATTGAAAAACATTGCTGAAGCTGAAGCCATACTTTGCAGCCGTGCTGCAAAGTATCGCTTGCATGTCGACAAAGCGCACTAGCCCAAGTTCAAAATCCGCACCAACCCTTCAAAACTGGAAAATCCACCCCAATGCGGGCTGAGGGTAAAAGATCCGCACAGAACCCATACCCAAAAATGACCAGCAGTTGCACACTCATTTAAACCCAGGGGACACTGAATTACACATAAAAGCTCCAGCAATGTTTTTCGATTTGCCTCATCAATATCGTCTTGTCCGTCAAGTCCATCACCAAGCCAAATCTGCACTGTGATCCACTAAATCCGCACACCAAGCGAAATCCGCACCATGACGCAACAGCTGAACAAGCCTGCACCGACCAGATCTTGTCAAAATTGCCATACCTTGCAGACTGGCAGTTTCCATCATGGGTAGTTTCCCCAAGTCATTTGTATAAATTTGAATTTTGGCATGCTCATCCTCAATTGCATGATTATTCACTATGCCAGCATTTGTATTTATAACTTCAAGTTCAAAAAAGAGATAATCGATCTTTTTGCAAAACTAAGTGCACACCCGTTACTTGTTACTTGATAGATTCCGGCACCGTTGTATATCAACTTACCGCGCACAGAGACCGTAGAAATGAGGATGGAACCACTTTCAGCATCGCCTATGAATTAGCAATACATTTGACACGTGCCCGAAAAAGTCTTCAATTTTATCGCGTCGTGTTTGAAACAGAGGTGGAAACATGCAGAACATGGTAGCAAACAAAAAATCCTTTACCACTTACCTTTGTCATATGGTCTGTTCCCTTCACTAGTGTTGAAGAGATCGGACCTCAGGTCTTCCCTTTACCACTTCCCTTCAAGTAAAAAAAGCATTGTCTTCTACCACAAATTTGATAATTAACAATTTATGGCCTTTGAATTGAATATGTGTGAATAAGAAAAGATAAATAAAACCCTTTTGACCAGTTTTTCCTTAAAAATTATATAAAATGCTCTTAATTAAAATCGACAAAGTTTTTCCTTTCCCTGAAATCCTTCACAATGCTAAGAGATCGGCCTTTTTTCATGCTAGTATACTAGGAAACCTTCGACATTAATTTACTAAATGTACGTCTTTGCTGTTGAAATTAATATTGGTATTACGAAATTTGTCACAACATTCAAGAAAAATAACAATGAATCTCTATGATGCAAAAATGTAATGAAAAGTGTCATACATGCTATCGATATTAACCTAGTGAAGAGCATTTTCACCGGCGAAAAAGATGGCATCAAATGGAACTTTGGGAGGCGATTGCGCGTTACAGGGTGAGGATAACGGAAAATGGACTGGACATCTGTGGTGAGGGCGGGCACCTGCTACGAAAACCGGTAAGTGAAAAAAAGGTGACAGTCTACCTTTAACCGACTGGTAATATCACAATAAATGTCACATAGTAAACTATTGTTTTACGATGGTTGGCCAGCAAAGCAAAGCTGGTATCCAGATGACAAAAGGATGGTTTTACCATGATAAGTCATTAGTAAGCATTACCAGGGAGTAGCTAACGATAGTAAAGTCCTAGTTTCGTGCTAGTATCACGTGGCTTTTGGGCATGGTATGACGACATATAGTTACCGTGTTAATACCATGGTAATTTTTACTGGCATTGGTATTCACATGGTTTTACATTCATATTAGGCCTAGTATTTGGGTCGTAAGTTAGTTTACCATAGGTAAGAGGCTGTTCAAAATATGACCACCACTCGAAAACTAACTAGGGTGGTATTTTTCTTAGTAGGCGGTACCAGGATAATACTAGCGTTAGTAGAGCTTTGGTTTCTTATTAGTTATGCTTTAGTTTCAAGGTAGTATGATGAAAAAATATTACCGTACTAAGACCATGGTATTTTGATGAGCATTGGTAGTTGCATAGTATTCCTTTGATATTGGGCCTAGTATTTGGATCGTAAACTGGTTTACCATAAGTAAAAGGCTGTTCAAAATATGACCACCACCCAAAAACTAACTAGGGTGGTATTTTTTTCTTTCAGTGTAGCTTCATTCCTTCTACCAAGTATTGGACTATTCCCGATGCATGTGGGTGACCCCTTATGCACGTGCCACGTGCAAAACGAAGAGGTGTCACTTTTGTAATTGTTGCAATATCTCGGCAACTATTTGGCCGATTGCGCTGAAAGTTGGCATGTAGGTAGGCACCCACTAGGCAATGCATATCCATGTGCCAGAGTTGGGGTGCTGCTGCACGTGCGCACGTGCAGGGGTCGATTCCAGATCTCGAGAACGGCTGGACCGATGGCGCTCAAATTTGGTACATGGATAGGGACCGGTTAGTAGGGTGCCGTGCAAAAGTCAGTTGGGACCCATTTTGCACGTGCGCACGTGCAGGGTGCCGCTTCCAGATCTCGAGAACGGCTGGGCCGATTGTGCTCAAATTTGGCACATCGCTAGAGACCGGTTAGTAGGGTGCCGTGCACAAGTCAGCTGGAGGTACCCCCTCGAAATTTTGCACGTGCAAGGCTCACCCTCTCGCTCGCTCCGTTAGTCGCCCCAAAAGGCGTTATACTGGTTATCTAACGCATCACACTGCTATATCGTATGCCATTGTGTCCACTTCTGCCACCACTGTTTGCGGCTAAGAGATATAATGCAGCTTATTTTAGCACGACCTTTGAAAGGCAGCGTTCCAGACATATCGAAGGACTCTGTTTCGCTGTACTGAACAGGGTTCTTCACTTTAAGCCTAATGCTACTGGCGAGTGTCAATCAATAGTTGGTGGGTCACCACAATGCTAAAAAGGTGTGCCGAGCATACTTACGGAATACCTACTGGGAAGTGGGAAGTGCTACAAACAGTAGCAGGCATTCATAAGTTTAAATGAGTAATGCATCTATTCACAGCTAACATTAATTCAATCATTAATTCAGAAATTGTGTTTTTGTGGGTAAATGCGGTGTTATGATGCACAATGCACTTAGCAAGTCAAGTCACTAATACAATCCCAAGGATAATAAAGACGGTATGTATCCAAAGTTCAGTTTCAAACTTTTCATTGCTAACTTATTACAATTATGGCTTAGAATGTTTTAGTGTAGACTCACTTAGCTGCAAAATTCTGACATTTTCATTCGTACCACGTCTGCCCACTTCCCATCGCACCCCACTAACCATGCCTCGACAGCAGGGTCTCTGCCGCACCCATCATGGCCCGGCCCCAGCAGTGACTGGCACCGGACCGTACTGTTGGCCGAGCTAATTGCAGCTCCTCGGCGCACATTTGCTCAATCAGCGGGCTTGTTAGAGCCGGTTCAGGTCCGTGACAGTCAGTACGAGCTGCACTGGTCACCTTCCCCGTGTAAAGGCCAGCCGAAACGACTCTCAAAATTGTCTCTCGAAAGCCTCCTCACCGAAAGTGTCAAAAAAGGTGTGTCTGCAAAAATGTTTCGAAAAAGCGCCTGGTATCATGGCCATATATAGGCCTGGTATATAGCACTGGAGACTTCTAAGTAGACGTATTCGGCGCGGTGAATGTGCTAGGTTTCATGCGGCCAAGCAGGTAGAAACACAATGAAGGCATACCATTGAGTTCTCCGTGGAATTTCATACCATCACAGAGGGCCCATTGTTTCGCGCCAGCGCGACGCGGCGTTCGTAGCGACCCCACGACTGGGCGTCTCGCAGCTCTCCTCATTTCACTGCCGCCACCGCGCGGTCTGTGGACTGGAGCTGCCGTCCGGGGGCCCGACGATACCGTCTGTTTGACCTGCAATCGTCTGCGTATCAGCGCAAACAGCGCCAGTAAAATGAAGTGCACCGAGCTACGGTCTTCATAGAATCCATAGAATCGACGCGGCGCCGTGGCACTTGGCGGGGGTCGGTGACGATAACTCAAACGGGTGAGGTGGGGGGGGGGGGGGGGAGGAGAGAGTGTAAAAGGATCAAACGGTCACCCGCTGCATAGTTGGTGTTGGTAAGTCCCGCACATATTGGCAGTGGTCCTTATTTACAAATGCATACTAATGCTGGTTATGTTACTGTTACAACTAAAAATGAGAACAAATAACCATTATCATCAGCACCAGCAACAGCACCAGCAGCAGAAGCACAAGCAACAACAGCAGCAGCAGCAACAGCAACATGGAGCAGCCAATCAGTACATCCGAGCTTACAAACAACAGGGTGCAGACATCACGGTTTCATAATACCTATACATACACGTACATACGTTGGACTGAAGTCATTTATTTTTTACAGGCGAAGTTCGAGCCAAGGATTATTAAAGGGACCCTCCCACCTTCAAAAAAGTTAATGAATTGGCATAAAAGTGATGTAGCGTGAATCAAAAAGAGCGAAAATGAACATCTACCAAATTTTACCGGAAAATATTCAACCGTTTTCGAGATATAAGACTTTTATTTTTGTTTACTTTTTGGGAACTCCGCTGTTTCTATGACGTCACATAAAGGTTTTCTTTACATCGGCATTTGGAAGCAATAATTTGGTATCAAAGTGCGACAAATATTGCGCGAATGATGCGTTTATCTTATCAAGGTCAATATATGATGGCCAACAAAGGATTCCAGGACAATTCTTCTTATGGCATTTTTTCGTATCGCAATTCTTCGTCTGCAAATCTTCGTCAGGGCATTTATTCGTATCGCATTACTTTGTCTCGCATCAGGGTATATGAAAATCGGCTCGCATTTCTTCTTCAACGCAAATATATGCAAGAGTAAGCATTGATGGACAAATAAATGCACCGACGAAGATTTGTAGACGAAGAAATGCGGACGAAGAAATGTCATGCGAGGATTCGTTCGGGTACCATGACATTTATGTGATTTCAAAGTCAAGGTTCACAGCTGATCTGCTAAATCAAGCCAAGAATCCAAACTATCAAAAAACTATAAATATTTGTTTGTCTGTCACAGAGGTCTCAAGCAATATAAGGTTGACATATGTTGAAGCAAAAATCTACTGCCACAACTCACATCTCCTGCCTTAGTTTATCATTGTTGTTTTAACTTGCTTTCAAGAGAAACAGAAGCCAGTATCTGATATCACTTCAGATGAGTGTTTCAAGATCTGAGTTCAAATGGAATTAAAAGCAAGATCAAGATGAAACAGGGATTATTGCTGTTAAAGTAGTTTGGCCATGATACAACAGGCACATAAATCATTAGCCAAATCAAATACTGGTTGGTTTGTCAAGATGTTTGTTGTCTGTCGAGCTGCTATGAACACTGAACGCTCTCACTCTTACTTCAAAGAGAGTAGTTTAAGTTGAATGGTAGTGAGCTGTAATTAGACAAAGCAGCTATTCAGTGCTCACATCAAGCCAGGCTAGGAAATGGCATCAACTGTGGTGGGAGGAAGCAGGTTCGGCAGGCCTATGTTGTAAACTTCTGTTGTGTCTTGTGTTTGATCAACTGATGTTTTCTGCTCTGTTTTGTGCAGTGATAGTAGCAGGTAACTGCATGCTTGTCAAATTATGTGAATAAACGAATTCATAACATTGCATTTTTCTCTCCATGCAAGGAACAAGTAAGATGTTGTAGAAAATGTAATAGAGGGCTGCATTGCTGATTTCATGCACTTTATCAGAGCTTTATTTAGAATTGCGTTCCTGAAAGCTACACACAGGCCACAGCACTGAAATTCACAATGTCATAGCTTTTGGCAGAAAAAAAGAAAAGACTTGCCTAGGTAAAATTGGCTGAAAGTATGGCAGAGCAGGTCTTGATGCGTATGCCCATCCGTGTGCTTGCCGAAGCCGAACTGACTGCAACACATTAACTCTGACCCACCATGGTGGCTGGCATATCCTGAACTTTCACCACTC